TAATTGTTTGTAATTGTCATTTTTGAAGGTAACTTCTTGATAATTCAATTGAACAGGTTTTTTTTTTTCCCTTGCTTTTCAACAGTAAAGTTTTAGATATGTTTTATTCAAATTATCCAAGGTACTTCTTTTACATCTCTTTCTAATCTGGTTAACAAACAGTACTATTCTTACTTTTCCTTTGGGAAACAAAGAAAAAGCACCACAAAAACGTATTTCTTTACGTAAATGCAAACAAGGCCACTTAATTAGGTTTGGTAGCGTAGCTGATGAATGGTCTGTATATACTATAAATGGAGTATATATATCATGTATACATACACTTTAGTTAGAACTTTACAGCATCTTAATATGTCTGTGTAAAGAAAGGCTTTAGTTCCAAAAAGCTGCTGCTTAATCAAATTTTACAGGGGTTTTTAGTATTCTAAGTTCTACAGAATGGTTCCTGTAACTTCACACAGGAGAAAATTGTTATGTAAAGAAAATTATTTACTAGATGGCTATATGAAAACACACATGAAGAAGTGGTAGGTGCCTAAATTTTTTTAAATCTGCCCTGAAGTCTAATTCATGATGAATTGCTCAGTGTATGAAATAAAATATCTGTTGACGGCGTAGGGAAGAGAACTTTGAGAAGATAGTATTGGTGTTTTGCATTTTTTGGTACTGGTGATTTCTGCTTGTCAGTGTCTAAAAAGGTGTTAGAAAAGGATTCTAATCTCTATGATGCTCTTCTAAGAATAGACTTTGACTTTGCAATCTCATTATAAAACGAAAACAACCCATCTACGTTGGTGGGTATATAACTTAAATATAAAACATGTATTGATTTTTTTTTTTTTAAGATAAATCAACCGTGCCAACTGTTCATGTCATTTTCTTGCAGTTAATTTTCTATCTCTCACTGTTGTGCAATTTTGCATCACTTCTAAGATGAAATAATACATCTAAAAGCTGTTTCAACCCTCGTTAGCTGATGAAAAGGTGTTGTTTTTTTTTTTAATTTGTTTTTGTGGGTGTTTTTTTTTTTTTTTTTTAAGACAGTATCCTGTATTAAATATTTTCTAACTGTCCATTTCCATTTCCAGTGTGTTTTCATTGTGTTTTATGTATCTTACATAAATACAGTTACACCTAGGCATAATATGTCTGCTGGTTTGAATCACACTGAGATGCAAGAAAAAAGACAAAATTCTTATTCAGGTTTTAGTTTTTCTCCAGTGCTGTCACATCACTTCCAACTAGGTTAGTGACACAGAGATTGGGAAGGGAAAGATCAGTCTGTGTCTACTTACGCTGCTCAGTCTACTGAAAGCGCTCTCCTCGCAGTGTGGGCATTCTGTCTGGTCAGTTCATCAGAAGTAGCTGAGTCAGGTATCATAAAGCAGCTGACCTAAATCTACTTGCAAGTAGCTCAGGCACATCATGCTCATTGTTTAATGTTTACAAGTTTATTGCAGCAATAGAATACTATAAAGCTTTATCTTGTCAATACTAAAACACTACTGCTTCTTTAAACAAATCTGTCTAGAGACTATCCAACTATGAGTACAGTTCTGAAAGTAATGCCTCCTGTTTTATTATATCAGAACATCAGAGGCTGATGTTGGTAGTAAGGCAGTGAAGGTTGAACCTTCTGTCAACGGTTTACGGGCTGGTTTGGCCCGGTTCCGTGACGAGCGGGGCGGAGGGATCCGCAGATCCGCGCCTCCGGAAAAAAAGGAAACAGGAGACCCCAAAATAATTAAAACAGCAGCACCGATCTGAGGAGAAACAAACTAATTTACTAAGTATATTATCGGAATGCAAGATAACACACTATAATACAATATAATCAGAATTAAAGCTAATAAATCAAATATAATGAGAGAGAGAATGTCCGAAAGGTGGATAGGCCTCACCACAACGCTGAGGTGAGATGCGCAGTGCAGTTGAGCAGTAGGGAGACGGGAGCAGCGCCCATGACGAAGGGCAGGCGAGAAAGAACAATCAGGCGACCTTGCCAGGAGTTAAACCTCCTCTCCCTGACCGCAAGGTCCCCTGGGGAATGTAGTTCTTCTTCTCTTCAGGGCAGGTACCCAGGACTTGAGCATTGACAGTTAAAGTCCCAGTGCCCCACATGATGTTATGATGTGGAATACCGAAAGCCAAAAATCACAAAACCATGACACCTTCCCACCAGTACTCCATTACATTTTGTTGCTGTGTGAGATGGCAGCTGCGGGGCAGTCTGACAGAATGGCATCTGACATGGGAGTGCCTGTGAAGCAAAGGTGTGTCATTGAGTTCCTCCATGTGGAAAAAATGGCACCCACTGACATTCATCAGCGCTTGCTGAATGTTTGTAGAGACCAAACATTGAATGTGAGCACAGTGAGGCAGTAGGTGCTGCGTTTCAGCAGTGGTGACAGCAACAGTGGGTCACCTCCTCTGGTGCAAACCTTTACAAGTGCAGCATGCAGGCTCTTGTTCATTGCTAGCAAAAAAGCATAGCTAATGGTCGTGACTATGTTGAAAAAATAGTGTTTTGTATCTGAGAATGTGCTCTATTAAAGTGTTGTTCTGCTGTTTGTGTCTGTTGTAGTTTCCATAAAAACAAATAGGAGGCATAACTTTTGGAGCAACATACATATTATGTGTTTTGAATTGAAAATGAAGGAGTCCAAGGATAGAATTAGAAGTAATATTTCAGGAGAGAATGTCTGAAGAATATTATTGATAGGAGATTTTGCACTGCCAGCCAAGGTTATTAAATCAGAAACTAGAGAAATCCTGAGAGAAGACAAGCATGTGATTCATGCAAGGAAAAATACTTTGAAGGGCATAAAACACAGTTAAATAATATTCATTGTGCAGGTGAAAGAAAATCATCTCCATGAAAATCTGAAGTAACATCTCCCACTGAAAGTGTCAAAAATAATCCTTTCAGATATGAATGATACGCTTGCAGAACTCAGAATGAATTTGGATGCAGGGTGAGAAACTGGACAGTGACCTAGCAATTGTGTGAGATTGACGTAGTACAAAAGAAAGGTGGCTGGAAGGAATGTACGAATTACTGAACAATTTCTTTAGTGTTGCATGTCAGCATGAGGTAAGCCACTCTGGAAAGGATTTAAAAGAAAATGAACTGAATAGGTAGAGCTCTGAAAGGGTAGCTTCAATGGCTAACCACATGATCACGATTAAAGCACTGTGAGAATTTGGACAACAGCCTTGCTGATCTCAGAGATGCTCAGTTTGGGAGGAAAAATTAAGTGTGAGTTTATGAAGAAGGCGGTGAAGATGAGGCCACTGTCAGAAACAGGGATTAAGGAGTAGTTTAATTATCACAATCAGAAACCATCAGTGAATCTACAGGAGCAAAACTGCAGTGAATTGTAGAATAAATATGAGATGATTTGGAAAAATGTGAAATTACTGTCTGGTGCTGTGTGCTGATCTGGTAGGTGAACCTTCATTAAACCAAATGAAGGAGATTTAAAGAAGGGAAAAGAGAAAGGGAGAAACGAAATAGTTTTTCTTGGGTAAAAAAGTATTATTGAAGATGATGTTCATGGATTAATACTTAGTAACAATCCAACTTAGAGGAGCTCTACTGAAAAAAATACTGTAATACCCACATCATACGTTGTATGCCAAATAGTTTTATTTCTGGTCAGAATGTATGTAGTTTCCAAAAGGATGATTTTTGGCAAGTACAGTGCAGACAGTGGACCTAGCTTTGCCTGAAAAGTCATTATATTTTGTATAAGATTTTTGCTACTACTCTTGAATGCCTATTTTAATTTCTTTTAGTATGAAACTTAAGGAATCATGTTTCAAATGCAATTTATCAAAAGCGTTTAAACAGTGCAGTTCAATCAAAATTGCTTTAACTATCTCTAAATAAGAAATGTGTCCATTTTGCATGCTGTTAAAATGCACATTTGTGGTAAACCCCCAATCTGTCTGTCATATCTGTTTTGCTTGTTTAAACCAATAATCTCTACTTAGAGAGGAGTGGAAACTCTGAAATTCTTTATCTCGTTCACTTTGTGCTTTTGACTCTTGGATATGAAATTATTTTTTACTTTTAAACTGTCTGCTTATAAAAAAAAATCTTGTCTTTATGTTTTTGTGTTGGCTGTGCAACTGTTGCCAGAGATGCAGACTGTAGGAAAGATTGAAGAATATATTTGACCTGAAAACTCTAGTTACCTAGAACTACTTGAACATGGTTACAGGGGTATATATGCCTGCATGCTTCAGGGGGAAACACTTATTTTGAGCAGAGGGAACGTTCATAAGATCTGGTAGGTGAAATCATGACCCAAGAAATTAGTGATGAGTTCTGTGTTGCTTTCAAACAGACCTGTACTTGAACGCATAGAACAAGCTAGTGTTTCTGCCAATTTTGCTAACCTTCTGCTAATGTGGGTAGTGGTTTTGTTTTGTTTTCCAGTGGAATCTGAGGAATCCATATTATAGGATAAAATGGTAGAGTAGATTTTGTTGATGGTTGGAGGAGCAGTAGTACCATTACCATTGCTTGGTTGCTTCCTTTAGAGTTTCATTTCCTTCAGTGGTAGCATAAAAGAAAAAAAGAAATATTTCAGGACTACTGAATTCTCTCCCAGCCTAAGTAAGCATTCTAAATTTTGCTTCAAAAGGTAAATATTTTTGAAAGGCCAAGAGGAAGACATGAACATATGCTCTTGAAAAGCATGTGTGTTTTAGGAGCTGTTGTCCCAATAACTTGCACTGAAATGCAATCCTCTAAGTGCACAAATTCTTTCTGAAAACGGAATTTTGGTGATTTCTGAAAAGCTTCCCTATTGATTTTCTTCAGTGTCAGTGGAATTGATCAACAAAAGCTTTGTTGTGTTGGAAGAGATTATTTTAGCAGCTTCCACATTTAGCTATGTGTTTAGAAAAATGCAGCTAACTTTCTGTTTACGAAAACAGAAGCAGTTGATATGACAAGATACTGAAACAGAATGTATTATATTTCCTTGCAGATTGCACTTTTGCATTAATGAACTGTCAGGAAACCCCAGGGAATACAACCAAAGAGGTATTTATTCTTCTGCCTATATGGTTCAATTAAATATCCTATTAATTAATTCAGAATTACTTTACCACTGTAAATAGTTCTTGTGAAGTGTTTACATCATTGTCCCTCTAACACAGCAAACAAGGCAAAAACGGCAACTTCTTGGTCTGTATGTTATCTGGTGCATAGGAAAATAGATCTCCATTTCTGATAGTTTGCTGTGTTTCTAAAATCAAGCACATTATTCCATTCCCACTAAGATCCATTTAAATTTCATAGAATCATCATGGAATTGTTTGAGTTGGAAGGAAGCTGTAAAAGTTTTTTAGTTCAACTACTCTGTGATGAATGGGAACACCTACAGCTCGACTAGGTTTCTCAAAGGCCCGTCCAGCTTGGCCTTTTATGTGTCCAGGGAAGGGGCATCCATCACCAATGTGGGCAACGTGTTCCAGTGGTTCACTGCTATGAAATCAGGTAGAACAGACTGTATAAACAAGATCAAAATCAAGCTTAATTCCAAAAGTCTCTATGAATATGGGACATATTTGTCTCCTGCGTTGCCTCTCATGACTCCTTGCAAAATTCTTTGTTTTTCTTTAATATTAATAATCTGGCTGTATATCACCTTGTAATTGCATAACTCTGCTTTCAAGGTTCTGAAACTTAATTTCTATTCTGTATTGGAATACCAAACTTTTGGGACTTATTTATAAAGCAGAACCTCACTGATTATTCTAAAACTGAAAGTTCAATTTGTCTTTTCTCGAAGAAATTAGAAAAAAAAAACCATAATCAGTAAAAGAATTCCAGTAGGACAGCACTTAGTTGCTTGAGCAGCGGGAAGCTTCAGCCACTGTTAGAACTCGACTTTTAGAAAATGCTTCTTTTGCTACAGTTTTGGATTGTTAATGCATGTCTTTATGGTTAGCAGATTTTGTTAGTTTTGTTGCTTGTTTGTTGTTTTAGTATGGTTTCTAAGTGGATGCAGATGAGCCAAAATACAGTAAGAAATCTTTTCCTTTACAATTTCAATCCCAGTCTTGAAAATGCCATATCTGTGATTTATATTATAAATTTCATGCACACTGTGCAGTTTAGCACTTCATTTTTTAGTGTATTTTCCCTGACTTCCACTAATAACTCACATTTCATTCCTCTTCTTTTTAGAGGATTGTAAAAAATGTGTTTTAACCAGACTCTGAAGCCCCAGGCCCATAAATACTGAGAACTTTTCAGGAGGCTAATTCCTTCATTTCTCCCATGCCATAATTGCTTATCTCATTAAGAGATTGCTCCATTAAATTTATATTTGTATTTTTTTACATCTTATATTTGAAAACATGAATGTATAATGTCTCCCTGGGACTCTGCACCATTATGATGAAAGATACAAGTGCAGTCTAAGACAGACATGTTTAATTAGTGAGCAAACTTGACATTTTCAGTGTTTAGGCTAGACAGGGAAAAAGCCAAGAGCAAATTAGCATGATTTTTTCCTTAATTTTATTTTTTAGATTGTATACAGAAAATAATTTATTGAACTGAAATGAAAATGAAAGTTCTCTACATAGTTCTCTACATACATAGTGGATAAAAGACTATAAGAATTAGGACTTGGTATTTAATCACAGATCCAAATATTCCAAATACTTAGATAGGAGCAATTATATCATTTTTGAATGACGTCTCAAATGCTGTAGGCAGCAGTGGCAGACCCACATCTTAGCTAATAAAATATATTAAATAATCTCCTATTGAAACCCAGAATGACCTTCTGAGATCTATTTTTTTTTACTCTTAATAAAAATTGTTGCATGTATTATTGGAGGCATTTTATGCTTCTAAGACTATCTAAAGAGATACTGGAGGTAGTTTCAAGCTTACAAGAATAGGTAGATACAACTCAGTTTCAGAATTGTTCTGCTCCTACATAATGCCAAAATAAGGATGAGGTACTCAGAAATGACTAGCTTGCCTTACGTATGTGAGATTTCAGAGTTATGTAACATTTAAAGTGTTGAGCTCTACAGACTCAAGCCATTCATTTTGCTTCAGGTGAGAGCAGAGACTTTTACACATACAAAAACTATGAATAGAAAATATTACTTTTAGATTTTAAGAAATTCTTAAAAGGTCTAAATGCACATGTGGATTTTTTTTCATTCAGAGTGGCAAGAGCTGATCTTTGCTATGTAGCTTGTAAAATTAACTCACTGCTCCATGTGTGAGATTCAGTGGATTTAGCTCTGCAATGCTTTGAAAAGTCTTTTGGTGAGGTCTAAAGTCAGCATAAAGCATTGACTTGACCTTTAACAAACTGCCAAAATAGAAAATGTAACATGGAAAATCTTCACATTCATAGCAGTGGTATATTATTTATTCAATAAAGATGGTACATTGTGTTACACTATGGCATAAATCAATGAGATGTTGGTTGAGCATTTCATAAAGAACTGCCTCTAAGCTAATACACTTTTACAGTGATATTGTTTTATCAAGGAGTTATACCAGTTGGTTAATACCAAAGAAAAGAGGCAACTCCCATATGTTAAGAAAGATACAGTGATACTGTTGATAGTTTCTCTGTTCTTCTCGTAAGTGCCACCATTTCACATCAGTTCTGAACTAAGAGCTAGTGTTTTGACTTCTGCTTCCAGGACGCTTGTTTGAATCTGATCAGCATTAGTTGTATGTGGTCTTTAGCATCTAAAAATCAGTTAGATGCAATGCGTTAACTTCATTTTGTATTTATAGAGGTCTGGTGATTGTCAAGTCAAACCATCAGAATTCAATCAGGATATTTGTTTCTGACTTGGACATTATTTAGTGGGTACTGGTGGTGAAGTTCAGAGTCAAATGCTTTTGTTAGTTGTAGTAAAAAATTAATGGACGGCTCTGTAATGTTAGCCCTGTTTTTGCTAATTTAACATATTATGATTTGCTTATATATTTGTTGCCAATACTGTCCAAATACACACCAATAGACATTTAAAATTAAAGCGAGTGTGATCTTATGTCACTTGATAGCTTTCCCACCTCTTTCCATTTTTAGTCTTTCATTGTGGTTCCTAATGGTCATCAGATCTTTACAGAATTAAAGGCCTTGTGCCTTGGAATTAATTTATACCAGCCTAAAATGTTACAGAAACACTTCTGTAGTATTTTATACTTCCTTCACTATTGTATAACAGTGTCATATAAGAAGGCAAACCATTCAGGCTGGCAGATTGAGTCTCCTTCTACTAATTCTGTACAGTATTCCTCAGCAGATCATTAAGGCTTGTGGTCAGTTTTTAGGTTCTGTTGCTGGGGATTTTTTTTTCCTCAACTGGCAATAGAATTTTCGTTCTTTGAAAATCTGTTATACTTTGATGGGTAATGAGTGATTCAGTAGAAAGAAGCAGGAATTTTTCAATTTCACAAACATTTTTAATATGGGCTGGAGAATGAAAGAGAAGAACCTGCAGAATCTGGGAGTTAGGGCCCTTAGGATTTAGTGAAGGCCAACTTTCTCATCTGTGAAGTTGTTTTTCATTACATCTGACATTTTTTGAGGGTGAGTTTTGTTACAGACTATTAGCCTATGGCACTGGGCTGGGAAGATGAGACTTCACTGAGATGCAGTACAAATAATAAAAAAAAAAGAGTGAACAATTGAAATTACAGGGTTATTGGTATCTTGTTGTCAAGGTAGCTTGAGGTTGGTTTTGCACAGAGAGGAATTCAGCTTGCTTTTGAGTGTGATACTGAGAAATGAATTCCGCACCCACTGTGCCCCTCCACTAATTATCAAACTTTCTGAAAAACAAAGAACAAAACGGAACCAATTCTTTTTAGCTTTCACTGTTTAACTCTTGTCGTGCCTTTCTGGATGTCTGTTATAGAATTGAAGGTTTTCAGTGTAATCGATTACAGTATCTGTTTTGTCCTGGATAATGTATATTCCTGGAAGGAACAGAACAGGTAGCTCATTAGTAGATTGTTACTTCAGGGATGTAACTTTGGATTTTTAAGAGTCAAGTTCCTGATTTCACTGCCACTTACTTCGAAGGGAGTGAGCCCGTGTCAGCAAGGAATTAACAATTGCCTGCGTGGCTTCTGAGTAGATAATCAAGTAACAATCATGTTGAAGTCATGAGACATTACCAATGTATTAAATGAAAGAGGATCCAAGAAAGGATATTTCTAGAATAATTTAAGGAGAAACTTCTGAGAAACCTAAAGATACCTTGGTTCAACCTTCCTCCATAAGTGCAAGGCATTTAGCGACTGAGCAGATGTTTGCTGCCTGAAGGATGTTTATAAACAGTAGGCACAAGAAAGATTTCAAAATCGTCTCGCTAAATATTGTCTGGAAGAAAAAAGTATGTGGTCCAACATATATTCAAGGTATTATGATTAGGCAGGAATATAAAAAGGGAACAAATGGCTTTGTAGTAGTTTGCATCAAAGGACTGTAAGTTTACTATGAGTTATCAAAAGCATTGCCATGAAATGTATCAACAGATGAATAATCAGGAAAACATATTTTTACTGTGCTGTTTACCTGCAGTACTGTGACTAGTTTTAGTTCCTGAGTGTTAAATAAAAAAGTTTGGATCACTAGAACTTTTACATGTTTAAATCTCTTATTGTTTTGTCTTGGATAGCCCTTACATTTAGTTGCATTTTCTGGATCTCTGATCTGTCTTCTGAAGAAATGGCTGTAAAAGAAAGGAAATAATTTATTTTCTATATCAATGGTAATTCAGAAAGCAGTATTATCTTTGTATTGCAGTGAGGACATTCAGATTAGTTACTGGAAAACCTTTTAAAGGTAATAATAGTGGTGCACTGCAATAGACTGCCTGGGGAGGTTTTAGAATCCTCCTCATAGTTGGAAGTTTTTAAAAAGACAGTCTAGACAAACATCTGTCAAGATTGATATGTTTGATCTTGCCCTGGGACAGAGGGTGGATGAAATGACCTCTTGAGTTCCCTTCCAGCCCTGTTAGGAATCTATCAAATCATGTTTAGGC